TTCGGGCTTGGATGGACACCCCTTCGCACAGAGTCTGCTCATGCCCAGACTCTTTCCATGCAGAGGCGCGAATTTGTCCCATCCATTGAACGCGGGGTTTCCAGGGTTCCCATTCGTTTTGGCGCCGGGCCTGTCGCTCTGAACGAGGTGGTCCCGGACCATCTCCTTGTCCTCGGTCTTGGTCTCGTTCACGAACTTGATTCCTCTGAAATAGAGCAGGTCGGGCCTCGTGGGCTCCCAGGGCTTGTCTACCGACTCAGAGTCGGTGGCCCTCAGCTCATATGTCTGTCTCATCTCGCCAAATCCGTAAGAATGTTTCTTGTCTTGAGAAAACTGCGCCTGGCCGTCGCGGACTGCTCGCAGGTGTGTGCCCGACACCCTCCTACCCCCCAACCGCTCGAGGAATGGCTCAATGCCAGTGGCGAATGGCGTAACACCCATGTTTGTGAGTTCCATCTCTTGCCTTAGTCTTGCTAGGACAGTGAGGGTGGCATTGGTGTCAGGGTCGGGCGACTTGTACCAGTAAGTCGTCGATACGGGGTACCTGAACCCCGTGGAGAGACCGTGGCTCGCATCGTACTTGGAGAGACCGTACCCGGAGTAGTCTGCATCGACATCGTGCCAAACCCCCGAGTGCCTCATGTAGCCGTTATTAAACATGTGTAGCTCTTGCTTCCACACAACAGTAACATCCCCTTCAACAGGCAACCGGATCCGGCTCCTAACCTCGAACGACCGGGAGATAGTTTGATTGTAGATCAGTTCAGTTGGGTCTGGTCTGCCCACTCCGACTTTGTAGAGAACATCGCTGATATTTGTCGTCGGCTCCTCCCCTACTATAACCCTCGTCCCGGGTACCCCTTCGCGCCATCCAAAAATCTTCCCAGAGAGAACCCAATGGCCCTTGACTTGAGTCAGCGCCCCGTTGGGATGCTCGGTGTCGTCGATCGCCTGGACCTCCATGCTGACCGTGTGGTCCTCTCCATCACATAATATACCGAGCCAGGGCGTAATATCAACCTCGTATTCCCTCATGTCAAAGGCCTGGAGACCGACCAGAGGGCGATGCAATGGCGGAGCGATGCCACCCGTGAAGATGACAGGGAACGGCCAGGCAAGCCCTGCCAGTTTCCCGTCGATGAACACCCGAACCTCGCGGAAACTGCTGCCGCCGGGGAGTCTGCTATTATCGGAGTATTTGAAATAGCCCGCCAGGCTCTCGGGGAGGTTGGACCACCAAAACTCCTCCTCGGCCTGGCCGGTCGCCGCGATGGTGAGTATGGCCCTCTTGGTATCGCCCGGGAGCTTGACGGTGGTGACCGCCTTGTCGCCAGGATATATAAAGGCACTGGACTCGTTCTTGTGGCCCTTGCCGGCCGACACTGGAAGGATGAAATGGGCAGGACCGGGGTGCGGCCCGTTGACCTCTGTGTCGTGGAAGTGAAGAGTGATGTCGACATTGAATACCCCGGTGTATTTCTCGTTGACCAGATTTCCGAGGTCAAATATGAGGCTGCTGTTTCGCATCCACAGCGGCATGAACGCTGTCACGTCCTTGGTGTAGTGCCAGACAATGCCTGGGTTCTCAATGGGCTCGGCCGTCGATGTTCTGAAGATCTCAACATCGCCAAGCCACATCGTCGCCAGGCGGTCAAACTGGTGTCCCTGGCAAGTAACTGTCATGTTCAGGTATGCCCTCGGGAACGAGCGTGGAGGCGGGGTATACGGCGCTGTCCAGGTTGTGAGTCCAAGTGGGCATCGATATTCGTACCGGAGTGGTGAACTTACCAACATGAGGATGGCCGTAACTGTTCCCAAATGAAGCATTCATCAATCTGAAGGAGTACGAGCTTTGGGAGGCATGCCTCTCTATCAGCTCGTTAATCCTGGCCAGCCCATCCTCCGTGAGGACTGGGTGTGAGACTTGAAGACATTCAAGTGGTTCGTGTCTGATTGGATCGATGTGGCCATCATCCGGACCCAAATTCAAGTTTACCTCGGTATCGTCGTCACCATAGTTCTCGGCTATCCCTGTTTGATGTGCATATGAGAACGCCGCGAGGAGCACAGCGGCGACGGAATGCCACTTGAGCATTGCGAGGAACTCAGCGGAGCACAAGAAACCAAATTAAGGCTATGGGCTTCTTGAGTGCTCGCCAAACAAGGAATACATACGGGATGAAGGGGATCGTCAGGGTTTATCTCTATGAGATACTCTCCTTCTCCGGGTCCAGGGCAAAGTCAATTAAGCTATCAAGTCAAATCTAGGTTGGCAACGGAACCACGGCGCGACGCATTCCGGCCGAGACGCTGGCAGAAGCGGTAGCGATACGAGCACTGGATTCCGGATTGAATTTAGCAACTGATTTTGGTGCTTCTCCTTGCTACCAACAATGGCGGAAGGATCGCGCGGGTCGTTGGAATGAGGTTGAGGTATGGCGCAAGTCGCAACCTGAGAGATGGACGTCCCATCATTACTCATGCTACGTGCCTGCCTACCCTACAGTCGCATCTTGAAACACCATTCACCATGTATGATTGATTTTGGTCTTGTGCCTTTGCTATGACAAGATACGTAACACTAATTCTGAGATCTGGACTAGAGGTAAAATACAATGGGATAAAAAAAGAGATGCGAGAAGCAGGCCTTGACATCTGGGCATGGGAAAGTTTGCCACGAATCTGCGTTCGCGAATAAAGCTACGTGTATGAATGGACACGAGCTGACCGAGGCTTTGAGCTTACCTGTTGAGTATTGCATCCTTCACCATTGGACTGGTTTCTAATTATTACGTATGGTGTGATTATCCCCGGCGACCGTGAGGGCTGCACCTTGAATCATGCAGGAAGTGTATTTCTAAACGTCCGTCTCTTCCCACTCTCCAATGCCAGCACAACACGTTGTTCGATCACCACGGAAGTACTGTAGCATCACCATTGGCAAAAATTCCCCTTCTGGGAGATCCAGATGTCAACAATAGGAGATCTGTCAAGATAAGCTTGCGAGCATGCCCGCGAAAACACCACCTACCTCATGCTATAGCCCCCCTGCCTCCTCGCGTAGGCATCTATATGACACGGCTTGAAAGTCGTGCCGCAGTCAGTTGTCCAGTGGCTTTCAGACAGTGGATGGATATGGGGTCATTATGCCCGACAACTCCTTTCCCCCTCGGCTCACATTGGTTGAGAGTATTGTCGGTGAAGGGGACGGGGGGCCACTTTTGCCAGGCAGTCTATTAAATACGTTACTGCACGTATCGTTGATAGTAAATAAATGCTTGTTTCTTGCTATGCACTCGCCCCGCCTCGGAACCGACATACGGCTCTTCGAGTTCTGTCTGCTCAAGCGAGGTGAGTGGTGTCTTATGTGTTTTCTCTGAGATGTCCCGTCTCGTATATCCGTGGGGCCAGCTGGACGAATTGGGCTCCAAGCCACCGCTCTGGGCTTCGCATCGACACGATTGCCAGAATGGTTGGTGGTTGGCCCCCGGTTTGGCTGCAGATTACAGCTTGACATGGAACGCGAGGATTCCGAGTACGGCAGTGTGCAGGACAACACACGACGGATTCTTGGACAAGACTCACTCGACGGGAAGTTAACATCCCATGTCTGGGTTCGGAATGGGATACGATCGGTTATAACCTCCGCTGGGGAGATCGAAATTCCCCAATGAGGAACCAGTCCATGCAGAATGATCAGATGCGAATTCGCACAATCGTTCGACGTGGCTGGCACGCATAAAGGACAGCTGCTGAAATAGGATCATTCCACGTTATGCGCACTCAGCGCTATTGCATGTCCTGAGTGATAATCGCCTCTATGTATCTCGTTGCTAATCCGTAGCGTGGCCCCGTAAGTGCATGGTGTGACCCAGGCGTCCGAATCTATCGCCCAGCCACCGGAATTTGCAAAGAGGACTGTTCCTTGTCGGCACCTACATGTGTTCCTCCTCAAAAGGATCCCAGGCTAGTTTTGATTCGACGTCAGCCAGCTGCAGCGTGGTGGGGAGCAGGCACCATCCTGTTTCTTCTCCCACCAATGTGCATGTAGGTTCGTCGTAAACGCTGCGCAAGCTCTTCCTGAAGCGGGTTCCTTTCCACGCCCTACTGCTGAAAGTTTTTCCTTCTTTCCTTGGAGTGGCCGCTGCTTATTAGGGGGGTAAGAAATGGGGGATACCGGGTCTGGAGGCGCCCGCTTCATCGGTCGACCTTCATGAAACGATGTTTGGGCATTCAGTTAGTTTTGATGTCAGAGATTCCCTGCCCGAGAGGGTCTTCTCCTGCGCAATGCACTTCCCTTGAGCACATCCTAGTGTAGGAAGGACTTTTACAACTTAGCATGGAGGAATTTCTTTTTGTGCGGCTGATGGGGGGGAGAGAAGCGGGCTCCAATGAGAAACCTCAGCCTTCCAATATGCCCGAAGGCCGCGGGATACGTGAGCGGAGGCACGTTGATACCTTATTATGTACTTGCGTGTCTTCACGATACCTACCAGTACCTGAGCCTCTGGGCTGTGGGAGGCATGTGGTGCGAAATGCAGGAAGCATTGACCCGTCCGCAGATGAGGTAATTGTACGTAGGCATCTGCTGTGTCGGTGCACACATCTCGGGGCAAAGATCTTCGCGCACTCCGAGCGACCGGATGGATGTACATTTACGCTTCTCGAAGGAGGAGGGAATTTGGCTAGGGACCGGCCTGGGACTCACTTAGCGAGAGCAACGGGAGCTACGGGAGGCATGGCGGGAGCGAACCCTGGAAAGGATACACCGTGACATTCTGATAGCCATGTGCACATGCCGCCGATATGGGTTTGTTACACATCAAAATGGCAGGTCGTAGGGGCCTACATTTATCAAAGAAACGGGGGGATCGTGAATCTTGGAAGCACCTCCTACACGTGATAATTGGCCCCTAATTAGGTGTTGCTACTACCTTCCCTCCATGTACATTCGACATTAGGTACATACACCTCTGGGTACTACTAGATATCGTGCCTTACTACTGACGTACATACACGAGCGCAGCATTGTCGCAAGTGGCGGCGGCATCTGGCCAGTCGAATAGAGGGGTGTCACGCTTTGAGAGCCAGCTGCATGCCTGGATCGGAGACTTGAAACTGGGCAGGTAGCAGGTTTGGACGAGTCGCGACAGAGCCATGTTCGAATACCTAGAGAGCGAGATTGTGGTCAATTAAAACCAAATCCATCAGGTACCTGGCCGCCTACCCAAAGTACTCGTACTCGAAGGTCTCGCCCGCCATCATTGGCTGCATCAGCGCATGTTGCGTGCTTCCACCCCCGCCCCCAATCAACCAAGCAGGGCACGGCTCCCCATTTGCGTCAGCCGCCCACCTTCTTTTTTCTTCTCGTCGCCCTCCTCCCTGGTGCAAGTCCCAACCGCTGCTCGCCATAATGCCAGCTGACTCGTCCAACAAGGCACGGAAAAGAGGGTCCAGCTGCGAGTAGCTGTAAGTTGGAGCATTTGGGCATGTCACCCAGCGGCAACTACAAGGTGCGGTAGGCCTACCTCTCTACCTCAACCTGCTACCAGCTACCTCCCACTACTTGGACGGACCGCTGGCTGACGGATGGATCCTTATTCACCAACCTCCTCCCCCCACCAGCCAATCCCCTCCGTCTGCACCTGTTTCCTTCATGTCGCGAGCCTGTCTTGGGTTGCTGACCTGCCCGCTTGATACCCTCATTGGCCTCCGCCGTCTTCTGCTTAAACGCTTCGAAACTGACCGAGTCTGGGCGACTCCATTATTGTGCCACCAAAGTGCAGGCGCTGCGCTCTGTCTCGCGTCGTCCTGAATCTTCCATCCCTTCCAATTCCCCCCCTCCGGGTCCTGCACAGGCCCTGCTCCGTCCCTGCACCGGCCTTCTGGGCACCCGCTATACGCACTAGAGTTTAGGTGGCTTCAATGCTTGCCGGGTGGTTCGCTCTCCGCCCTGCTCACTAACCTGTCACAACTCCGTCACTAAGTCAGCGATCGCCAACCAAACTCTCTCCCCATCATCCACAGTTGGCATCGATCGATCTGTCTTGCTCAGTGGACTCGCGCTGCGACGCTTCCTGCAGCATCGAATAGTCCAGAACAGCTGGCCTCTGGCCTATCCGACATCACCCTCCGCATTCTTTGCTGTTGCTCAACGCCTTAGCTACCCTCCTATAGCATTCAGCCACCGCAGCAACAGCTGGCATCTGCCCTGCATGCCAGTTTGCCTCGATTGAACCACGTCCTGCACTTTTTCTGCATCCACCTAACCAGAATGCGGAAAGCGACCTTTCACGCCCACGTCAACTCTTAGCAGTGGATGGAGAGTCTGGTTCGCGTCGTATACAGCCCAGCATGCTCGCTCCGTCTCCTATCCCTCCAACGACCATGGCTGAACCTGTCGCAATCCACACGACCGCGACTGGATCGAGTGGCTCCGGTCAGCGTCAATTTAAGAAACACAAGGTCTTACCCCGACCACCTAGTATCCGCGCCAACGATCTCGACGCTTCGCCACCATCCAGACCTGTCTCAGAAATAGTCGTTGACACTGATGTTCCTGCGATCAATTTTGATCCCCCTAGCCCACCGACGTTGAAGCGCCAGTCGAAAAGGATCCCGACTGGCCCAGAGTTACCGCCCACACCTCCTGCCCACTCTCGCACCTCCTCCAGCGGCCATTCTGCTGCACCCTCCAGTCCTACGATTTCGGGCTCGATGCTCCAGGACTCGCCCGACATCGTCCCTGCCATATCTCCCGCAACGCCGCCTGATCAACGTAGTCCTCCAACTCCTGATGTGACCCCCCCGCAGCCAGCCAATCGCCCAAAAGCTCTCCGCCCTGCTCCTCTCGCTCGTGGCGCTTCTGGTACCACCACCACTGAGTCTCGCACAGAGTCTTTCACAACTGCCCGGGAAGAGCTGCTATCTTCAGAGGAAGACGATACTCCATCGACCGTACGATTATCCGGGCGGACATCTCAGTCTACGGTTCGAAAGGTGTCTGTGCCGCTGCCTGGCCAAGCTCCAGATCCCAAAGCTCTGGACAGGGCGTTGTCTCGATTGTCACCTTCAAAACGATACAAGCCATCGCCAAAGGCAAAGCGCCCGGAAGCCAACCAGGACAGCCGTCCCAGGAATGCTTCCGGGTCCAGGGAGGTGGAAGCTATGGATCGGTCCGTGACTGTGAAGTTGAAACCGGCGCCAGCGCCTCAAACTCGACGTCGAGGTTACAGAAGAGACGTCATCGAGGATGTTGATGACACGATTATACCGAGCAGCGCTATTCACGCTGTCCGGCAGTTGTCACTATCGGAGAAGAATCACTCTCATTCACGTCCATCCTCCTCGCCCCACAGCCGTCGCGATCAGCAACGCAGAGCCACGAACCCCACTACCGTAGAAACTGAAGCTCCTTTGAAGAAACGGTCGTCATCTGGGAAGCCCCCAAGATCCGCTTCTTCGAGCGTAGTTGATGCCTTGCTCGCCGAAGGACAGCCTCAAGGGCGGAAAACTCTCCGGCATGTGCGAAAGCAGCCTGCCTTGCGAGATCTCTCTGGGCAATATTCCGAAAGAGCTTCCTCTACCACCGAGCTGAATCTATCTGCCCAACCCGACACTCAGCTGAGAGGCAGACCTGGACGTGGGCGAGATCGTATCGAGAGCTTCGTATCAGTCAGCACTGTCAACTCGGTGGGCAGTCGAAAGGCTAGACGAGAGGTGCTGAAGAATGGAGGGATACCGGTGATTGTGGTACCTGATCGGCGATCATCAACGAGATCGACAAGCAGGGAGCCATCCTTGAGGTCCACATCAAGTCGACGATCCAGGAGAACCCAGAGTCTCAGTTCAGCACCCCTCGACGGGAAGGAATCGTCGACAACGGACCGTCGTTCTCGGCATGCTAAATCTTACTCTGTGTCTGATGGATCTGAACGAACAATAGATTTTCCACCCGTGATTCCAGCAAGGTCGTCATCGCTCTCGGCTCCAACGAGTCGGACTGCCTCCAGAACATGCTCTCTAACCACCGAGAGTATCCGGGCTCATGATGCATTTCAGAAGCAACTCCAGCAAGAGCAGGCCAAAGAGCAAGCCAAGGATCAAGCCAAGAAGTTATCCAAGGAGCAAACCCCGACAGCTTCTGCCGGCCCTTCAGAACATGCAAAGGAACAAAACACAACACAGACAGCCAGCGTTAAACTCGAAGCACATGATGCTCCTGTAGCTGAAAAGAGCGACTCAGATCGCCACCAATCCCTGGAAGTGCCCCGGGTTTCTATTCAAACTTCGCCAGATACTTATATTTTTGACGATCCTTTAAAGCTGGGCGCAGCGTCGTCTCTTGTAGCCTCTCCAAGATCGGATCGTTTTGAAGATGGTCTTTCGACGAAGAGGTTAACAGCTCGAAATACACCATTTTCGGTCACATCTGCCGAGACCAACTTTACGGCACCCGAGGTCTCCGAAGCTCTAATGGTGCACATGTATGCTCATCAAAATTCCTCCGTGCTCATGGTAAACCATTCGGCCAAACCTTCAGACGGATCTGTCACTACCCAGAACGAAGTTCCCCGTTCCGGCGGAGGATTCGAGCCTGGCAAGTCGGTTCTTGTTGACGACAATGATGAGGGAGGAATTCCTGTCACTCCACCACAACCCCAGTTCTCACTGGATGATATCGACTCACCGCTCCGGAACCCTCGAAGCCCACCGCAGCCCCCTAGTCACCCACCCGCGCTGGCTTTTATTCCGGCCACTCCTTCTGGGATCACCCCTGCGCCGGACAAGGACATCCAGATGGGGAACTTTTTTGAGTCCATCGCTGAACAACCCCCAAGTGCACGGCGACCTTCGATCGTTAGACGAGCTTTCAGCCGGCGACGGCGTAATTTATCTGTTGAATACCCTCCCAATTCCTCGAGGACGCCAAACTTTCTCAAGCGAGCTTTGTCTCTTTCTCGACGGAGGAATTCCCGACGTGGTGATGACAGAATTACCGCACCGTATCGAGGAAACTATCCCTGGGAAGGTGATGACCCGCCCGAGGAAAACAAGTTGCACCCGTTTTGGCGACCTCAGTGGTCAGCTGATGAGGATGGCTATGATGACGAGTATGATGATGATGATGATGATGAAAGGTACCAGGATCGCGGTAGGGATGAAGGTTATATGAGGTATCCTTTGGTCGACAACCGTCCATCCAGACGGAGACGAAGCATAAGCGCCCGAGTCAAACGCACACTGACGGGGCTGTCCTCTCGTGACGACGACGACTATGTGATTGATGATGGGGATGGGCCATCTCGCCGCACAATCCAGCGTACTTTAAGCGGTAATTTACGGGTCATGAAGCGCCGAAGCAGTCTCCATTCGCTGAGGAGGCGCTTCAGCCAGACTGAGCGACCATCTACAGATTACGACTATCGAAGAAGCTTCTGGCGTGGCTCGAGTGCCCAGAAACGGACTCGTAGTTTAAGCCGTCGACGTTTCTCCCTGGACGAGCCCATCGAGAGGATTCAGGGTCTGTCAAGGAGGTTCAGCGAGAAACGTCGAGAAAAGCGAACCCAAGAGCTGCGGCGCAAGATCAGCGGACCCAAAGATGTCCGGGGAGGTGTCGAAGAGGTGATTCGTTCTAGGAAGCAGCCTGGTTTCCTGTAGTCGTACAGCATCTACTTGCTGGTGTTTGATACTGAGGGTTAATCTGCGCTGCCCTTTCAGCAAACATGGCCAAAACACAAAGTCAAAAGAAAAAAAAGCTGGAACCCGGCTGCATGCGGTCGAGGAAAGTAACGATGCAAATGAGAATACGCCATTGGGGAGCAGATTTCTATTTTTGTTTATAGTAACGATTTGAACGACATTGTGATGATGGGCAAGTTTGAAGAATTCAGAATACGTGGGCTATATATCAGGCGCGGGCGTCACGACCAGAGCTCTATCTGCTAAGCAATTGATTTTTGGATGTTTGGTGTATTATAGAACGATATCACTATTGGTGAAGCCATGACCAATGGTTCATCATGATGCGCTTTGAATTACAAGCTTTTGCGACTTCCTAAATTTGCTAATAGGTTCGACATACGTGACCTTTTATAATACGTCTATCTGTTTACCAATTCACCACAATACGAAGATATTTGAAGTTGATTGAAAAAAAAAGGATATTTCATATGCCGTAAACGCCATGTGTAAAGCCCAGTCGATTCCAAAGCAGTGTGAAAATTCACCGCATCATTCTATACACTACATTTTCTCGCTGCTCCACGCACTGCCACTGCAATCGCTCATCGCCGGTCATGACTAGGTGCGTTCCCATGAGGGAAGCCGGGCGGAGGGAGGCCCCCAGGCGGGAAACCAGGCGCGCCAGGAGGTGGCGGGAAGGGAGGGAACTGGCCCGGGGGGAAAGGCAGGCCGCCAGGAGGCATGGGAGGCATGTTGTTTGGGCCGGGAGGGAAGGGGGGCATGGGACCACCGCGACCGCCGGGAGGAGCTGGAGAGAAGTGAGTAAGTATGAGAGAGAGCTTTTTGGGAGAGGGGAGGGGGAGGACGTACGAGGAAGACCTTGGGGGAGTTGGCCTGGGGGAGCGCCTGGCATGCCGGGGAATGGAGGTGGTGCACCTAGTAAAGAGGGATAGTTAGTATCTTCGAGCTCTCTCGGAAGGTGACTGGCACGTTTCCCCAATGAATGGGAACGTGGGGGAGGATGCGTGGGCATCTATCTGGCTTGGGGACGCAAACATACCTCCCGGGAAAGGGAACGGTGGGAAGTTGTGCCCAGGCTGGTTGTGCGGGAGCATCGGGTTGGCGTGGGCCTGTCCCTCGGCGGCGTAGGAGGAGGTGATGGAGTCGATGACGGACTGGGCCTTCTCGTGGCCGATTTCTACAGGTTGCTCAGAGGTCAGTCCTATCTTGCTTCGCGGTTTCGAGGAAGAGGGAGGGGTTGCGCTCGTACGTTGGTAGTAGTCGACGACATTGCGCAGATGGTTTCGGCCGCTGTTGTGTGCTCGGCGCACGCTCATGGAGTCGTGCGTGAGGTAGACATCGCAGTAGTCGCCTGTTCGCGCGCGTGGTGGTTAGTGCTTGCTGGAATAAAAGAAATTGGTCGCGTGGCAAGGATTGCTTACAGAAAACTGTGGCGCGTTAGCTGCTGTTCATTCTTGGTACTCTATTGAGGGTGTCGGGACTTACATTTAGGCATCTTGGCAAGTATGCGGCTCAGGCGACGCTGATGACTTGGTTCGAATCACTACCTACCAGAGGCTCGCGTTGAAGCCGGAGTAGCTCCAAAAGCTGGACAAGGCTGATCCCACACGTGATGTGGATCCGCTAGCCTGCAAGGCTGCGCGAAATACGAGCTCTGATTGGATATAAGTTCAAGGCGACTCTGTCATCGCAAGGTATTTACCTAGAGAGCAAGTAAAATGGCTGTACTCGAGATTTGGCCGCTCAATTTTGTCAACAATGGCTATGGGTAACTTATTTCATCTTGGGACTTAGTAATAACATCTACAATTCTTTGAAAATGTACATCAAGGGAAACCAGTTTTGTTTGGAGAGGCCATGCTGAGACAGGAGTACTATTGACAAATCGAACAGCAAGCTGCTCTGTCGCAGAAAATGAATATATTCGATTGACGCAATAATGCGATAACACAAACCACAAGACGAATAAACTGTACCCTTTTGCCGGGGTGTGTGACATACTCTGGTGAAGTGAAAAAGGGGTCTAGGTAGGTGCTGGAGTTGGGGAATTCCAGGGGCGTGCACGTGACCGCGCTGGAGCTGCTTTGATGGGACACCTTTCAACATCCACTAGCATGTGCCCTTGTAGCGATCTGTATCTCTAGACCAGACACCTTCACCCCCCGACGACCACACGCAGGACTTGGGACAGCATGGCCATTCAACTATCACTGCTGCAGGTCCTCTGCAGCTTCATGCTGCTCTTTGGCGCTGCCAGTGCTCTCAAGTTCGATCTCCAGGCACACGCCGGCCGAGAGAACCAGAAGAAGGAACGATGTATCAGGAACTGGAGTTCCAGTAATACTCTGGTCGTCGTGACGGCCATTATTGGCGGAGACAAGGCCGATGGCATGCAGGTTAACATTCACGTATGTTACTTGGCTTAAAGCATGGGATAATGCATGGTGAAGAGTACTGACCTGGATGCGACAGATTCGCGACTCTGACGGTAACGAGTACGCTCGCCCTCGAGATGTTGTTGGCGAGTCCCGATCCGTCTTTACCACCCACGCAGACGCTCCCTTCGACGTCTGCTTCGAGAACGTCTTTACTGGCTGTATGTACTTCCATGTTGTTTCTGTTTTCAAGGCACATAATCATTCTAACCGCATCTCGTTATAGCCCGACGACCTAGCCCCTCCACCCGATCCATCGAGCTCGACGTCGACATTGGCGCCGACGCCAAGGACTGGGCCGCCATCCAGGCCACCGAGAAGCTCAAGCCCGTCGAGGCTGAGCTGCGACGCATTGAGGAGCTGACGGCTGAGATTGTCCGGGAAATGGATTACCTCCGGTCACGAGAGCAGAAGCTGCGCGACACCAACGAGAGCACGAACAACCGTGTCAAGTGGTTCGGAATCGGCACCACCTGGCTGCTCATCGGTCTTTGGGGATGGCAGATTATGTACCTGCGCGCCTACTTCCGCTCCAAGCATCTGATTTAAGAAGGTCAAGGACGGCGAGGATGAGTTTGCCATCCACGGGGACAACCACTCAAGTACTGGTGCACTTCACTCTATGGCTTCATATCCTCGAAAGAAAGGCGACCCAGCGGATGGATGGCAGCATAGCTCAGGATGACGATGGTCCATGGGAGTGGCAATGTATTGTGGGACATGTTGGCGTTTACAGATCAACACAGATGATTTGAGCGGGTTTGGTAACGAAAAAATTACAAGGGTTGGACCTGGGTTAGTACTTGATAATACTGGAGAATGTATATTTCCCTGTACGAGCCTCGACTTTTTCGTATGTTGTAAGATCTGGCAGAGCAGGGTTGAAATCGGGAGCGAACGTAGAGGGTGTGCTGGCGATTTTATCTGGCTGTAACAATATTGTTTATGAAGACGATTGAAAATGACAGAGGAATCGCTTTCTGATGTGCGAATTTATAACGAGATAACCGTATCACTTGAGTTGTAAGCTGATAAAATCGGCAGTGGTGTATGAACCTAAACTCTGTTGCAGAGTGAGTGCCGCCCGGCTGGTCCCGGCGCCAGATCGGGGAACCAAGCTAATAATCCAAGCAACCTCATTCGTGACTTTCCCTCGGCTTAGGAACAAGGTTCAACGCTCGACTCCAAATAACGTCGTCACCACCAATTCCATCTTCCAACCTAACTCTCAGCCATCTCCCACCGTTACACCGACAAACCATATACGACCAATTAATCAACTGCATACACAAACTTAGCCATGACGGCTTCCACCTCAGTCTCCCGCACCGTCCTCCGGCCTGCTTGCCGACGCTTCCTCGCCAGTCACACCCGCACATTCGCCACAACACCCCGCTGCCGCAACGACGACAACCGCGAGTTCGGCGTCGGCGAGCTGCAGGGCATCAAGTTCCGCGTCGCGCCCCTCCGCCGCGTCGGCGAAGACGACCAGACCAAGCGAGCCCGTCTCCTCTGTATGTTCCCCCTCCCCTCGCCTCATCACCATATGAGGGAAAGCTAACCAGAATTCCAGACCAGTCCCGCAAGCGCGGCACCCTCGAATCGGACCTCCTCCTCTCCACCTTCGCCGCCACCCACCTGCCCACCATGTCGGCCCAGCAGCTCCACGAGTACGACCTGCTGATGGACGAGAACGACTGGGACATCTACTACTGGGCCACCCAGCGCGAGTCGCTCTCCTCCACCAACCCGTCCACCAAGGAGGACGTCGTCGCCCGCGAGCCCCCCACCGGCGAGTGGGCGCAGACCGTCGGCAACTTCCGCCCCGCGTACCGGCCCGTGCCCCAGCGCTGGCAGAAGAGCCAGATACTGGAGCTGCTGAGGGAGCACGTGAGGGCGCGGAGCGTGGACGGCGACAAGGGGAAGGGCATGGGCTTCATGCCCGCCTTGGGGGAGCAGCAGTGAAGTCTCTCGGGGCTGAGCTTGAGCGGAGGGCGGGGTTCTACCTGCTGCCCTCCGTCCTGTAGGATACTGGTTTGGGAAGCATTGTATTGAAGCTGATGCATTATACCGGTCATCTCTTCACGCCACTGGAAAGCCATGTGCAAACCCCGGGGAGAGGGTCGGGGGGATTGAAGAAGAGAGAGCCTGGGGCTCTGAAGGGTATTTTCATATGAAGTCGGTAAACAAGCATCTCAGTAGAGAAGAAGAAAAGGCCCAAGGCCGAAAAAGTACATGTAGTCACGCTGTACCAAGATCAATCGCATGCCGCCCCTATCCATTGCCCCTAGGTAACACATTTCAAACTCCGTCAGCACCGTCCAGGTAGAAATTGTTTTTGTCTCCTCCAGTCCTTGCGCCGCTTTGCTGTCCGGTCTATGGCAAAGATTCCGGGATATCCTTCGTCCCAGACATGTATAACAAAGAAAATTAGTGAGAGAAATAAAAAGAAAGAGCGGGTTCTCGTCTCGTCGTGGATATCGTCAAATAAGGTGCGGGTTGTAGAAGGGTTCAGCGCCGGTTGAAGGAGCTGCTCTCACCCGCCGCCTTCTGGTAATATGCTGCCCAGACTTCTCAGAACCTCCATTATTGGCATGTCCTTGGTCCCGGCTTGCCTCCTTTCTCTTTCTTCTCGTTCTCGTAAGCGGACGGCGCTGAGGCTCAGTATCTGTTCTGCTTCCTTGCCAGCAACCGCTACTCGTTGATCTAGTTTGTGTATGTTGTCTGCTAATTGATCAATCTCAAATTCTAGAGATGACCGTATGGTTTGCAGTCGGTTTTGGGTTTTTGCGTGCAGTGCTGCAAATGAATTGCTCTTGTCTGCAAGATACCCTCGAATCTTGCCATCGTCTTCGTCTAATACATCGAAGTCAGGTAGAGTAATTTGGCTTGTCTCCTCTTCAGAGTAAAGCTGAGGTTCTTCGGGTGGTAATTTCCTCATCGCTTGCCACGCTCTTTTTTCCTCTTGTAGCCTGCTCAATCACTATTAGCAGGACATTCCTAATAGAGGAATCGAGAGAAAAACACACCTTTGAATATTGGCTTCTAATTGTGCCATCTTTTCGTCAAGCTCGATGTTTCTCGGATTAGGTTTCAGAATGACAGGTGCCTTAGGACCCTCATCACGACTGAACCAATCCGAGAATTCAGATCGTACCGAAAAGTCCTTAAGTAATTGGTCTTGGATTGCACGAGCTGAAATCGTGGTTAGCTTTGCAATAGCCCTCAAATAGTGAATGCAATGCCCTACCTCCATGGATGATGCTGGAATTCTTAGTACCGTGAGCTGGCTTCACAGCCAGTGCACGTTCACCGCACCAGGTTAATAGCTGTTTCATACGCCGCGTCTCCGTCAAGCCCTCCTCGATGTGCTTGTAGAATTCCGCCGGGTTGACTTCGCGGTGAGGTATTGCCGTTTGCCCGCTTTCTATTAGCGAGCTTGCTCTCCTGCCTCGCGACCCCAGGCTGCTCCGCCGATTGCTCCCCTTTTTGCGCATTTCCTTGTTCCGATTGATGATGGGCGTATCGCTCATCGGGAGAGTAATCTGCGCAGACTGAACAGCCTGCTCTTGCACAGGCACCATCTCGGGCCCCCTCGCCGCTTTCGTCGGCTTGCCCTTCTTGCGGCCCCGTCCATTGGACGCACCGTTCGTGTGCGTCCTCTCCGCCCTCACCTCTTCCACCACCGCGACATCCTCGGACGCATGGCGCGTACTCCTGCGCGTCGTCGTCTTCTGAATTTTAGGCGCCGGCTCCTCGGGCATCACATCCTCGCTGGCCTTCCGCCTCGTACTCTTCCGCGTCGTAGATTTCGTCACCACGGGCGTGGCCTCCTCCTCCGGTATCTCTGCAATCACCTTGGCCTCCTTCGGCGGGCGTCCCTTTGGCGGTCGACCCCTCCCGGCCCTCTTCGGCGGCTCTGGCTCCTCCGTCTTCACCCTCTTCGTCTCCCTCACGAACATAAAATCACCATCCTGCTCAAGATTCGCCGGCGCTGCCCCGTCCGTTAGCTGCACGTTCCCTTTCCCTCTCCGCTGCGTCAGGCTGTGGTCCGGATACGTACCGGCGAGGCGCTTGCTTGTCCGGCGCTCCTGCTGGTTTCCCATGCTCAGAAGTTCTAGCGCCCGTCGAGTCTCCACGAGAGTCGTCATGGGTGGGTTATTCGAGGCGGCATTGAGATCAAGGCGCTGGGCGGTGGTGGTGGTGGCTGTCTGGGGTGGTGGGCGCGTGCAAGCGAGTCGGTAAGTACCAGTCGCGTCCCCCAATGTTCGCGACGCAATTAGCGGCGGGGGGTGAGGAAATACCGAGCCGTCCCTCGTATCGCGTGGCAGTTGTGTAATATGCGGATTCGAATGGTGCTTTCGCCCTGGGTGCGGTGTATGGGTGATTTGACGGCGATTCGGCCGGCGCAAGACGAGAGCTTGTGGTAGTTTGGGTTTGCCTCACATTTGTTTACCTCGCATTGCAAGAAGAGGATGAGGGATGCCTCATTGAGCATGGCGCTAAACCATATCCGGTATCAGCCTGACCCCACCCCCGAACACTCGGCTCTTCAACACAAGCCTCGCACGTGACTTTTTCACCATCACTCAATAGTGCTTTGTGTCACTATTATTGACCATTGGCATGAACGTCCGCATCTGGCAATTGTCGTTCATCTTGTTCTTTCGGCTCCTTCATTAAGCACCGAATCGTTCTTAATTACGGTCATTCACTGATGAATTTATCCCGCGCCCGGTTCCCGAATAGACAATTGCCATGCATACAGTCTCAGCCACCAAAAGTGTATATATACCATTGGCCCCAAAGGGCTACGTAAAGCTGTCCTGGGATAAAACTATCATTCCGTAATCCGAGTAGCCTTTTGTTGCCTTTTGCTACCGAAATTAAACTGAAAGAGGGAACAAATAACTCAAAAGATATGCCCATAAAAACACCAGATACAAGGACCTTTTGATAGTACCGTCCTCCCAAATCCCATCCATCAACGCCACAAGCAAAGCAAGCACCCCAGGCCGAAACACCAGATGCAATGTGCCTATGCCTTGCCAAGAGATACATCGTTTTACTTACAAGATCAAAGAATATCCTCATGCGGCCGTCCATAGCTCCCCTCCATCATCGAATCTCATACACGTTCAAGAGTCAATCCACTCAACTCTATCTCTGCCACAAGGCAGACTTTCATAATAAAAACCCCGTAAGCGCCATATATCGGTTTTGGCAGCTCAGTACCCCATCCACGTTCATCGGCCCCATGTCACCGAGGCCTTCACTTAGGCATGGGCGTTTCCTGAGGTTGCCAGGTTACCGTTGTTGATCTGTATCACTCCAGCCACTGACATATCGTCTGTCAGTCACAAAAATTCAAAGGTTTGTGGCAAAGAAGATGTCTCTATCTAAGAGAAGCGTCGCTGAACACCTTGGCCTGCTATAACTTGCTGACCGGGTAATGGCGCGGCCATTCCGTAAGGGTTCATTTGTGGGTTAAAGGGCTCAACAACTTGGTTCATGTAAGCTCCATGTAGGCCTTGTTGCTGCGTGACTGGACAATCCTTGTGAGCCAGGAGTAGTGTCTTGAGGTTCACGACTTCTTCCCGCAACTGTGTGATTTGAGCGGTGAGGGCATCATTCTCGTTGCTGAACATCTCCACCTTGCTTTGCAGATTCGCAAGCCATTGCTTCTTGCGCTGGCGACATTTCAAAGCGGCGACACTGACAACAGTTAGACTCATTTCATTACCAGAGCATTGAATGACCGGATAAAAACTTACCGATTTCTTTCCAAGAAATTTTTTCTCTTTTCTTCATCCGTCATCTTGCCCTTGGATCCACCATTGTCATCTCTCATGTCGTCGTCATCTGACGGCTCTGCGCTTAGATCATCTGGAGGGAGACTGTTTGGTTTGGACTTTTTGTTGGGTGGGGCTTTCGCGGGCACTTCGTCCGCTTTCCTTCGACCATTTACCGGGGGAGGGTTCTTCTTGCCTTTTCCTCGGGTATTGGGCTTGGGCTGCTCACTCTCATCCGACATGTTGCTAACTTCGCTGACCCCACGTCCAACGGCATCAACCATGCCACCGTTCATGTTCATCTTTGGAGGGTTGATATCAACCTGGGGAGCTGTGACAGGATGACCCTGGCCGGGTGCGCCTGCTGAGACGCCAAACTGGTTCGGGTTTTGTGCACCGTTTCTACCCTGCGCAAGCATGAACAAACCGTTTGCAGCGTCGTTGTCGTGAGGATCGAATGGTCCAGAGGCAGACTTTGGTTCGGTCTTTGGCTCAACTGCGATGCCGTTTGTTAAATCTTGCGGTTGGGCTGCTGCAACTTGAGGGGCTTGTTGAATCTGTGGATTTCCGTTCGTGGTTTCCCGCTTCGCAGCTGCGCTCATCGCAGTTCTGTGGAAATCGAGGGTGCTCGGTGTCGCTCCGCCGCTTGCCAGTTGCGCAATGAAGGCAGATGAGTTGGGACTTGGCGCTGGGAACATGGAGCCACTACCTCCAGGGGTCAGACCGGATCGTAGTGAAGACTCGTTTGGAGTCGGGAAGCCGCCTCGAAGACCATGGGTCTCTCCGAAGTAGTCGTTGGCGGGTCCGGATAACATCGCAGGACTTAGGGGACCGGTGCGCAGCGAGCCTCCGCCCCAATTGAAAGGTGTCGCGTTGCTTCCGGGCAGCAATGATGACGGCGAGGTCAAGGCGTGGACTGGGGGCAGCTTGGTTCCCCCAGGTGTTTCTGGCTGTCCACCCCCAAAGGACTGTTCGAAAGGATTCGGCTCCAAGCTGAGGGATCCTCCGCCGGGTTGGGTTGAGAAGTAGTCGGGTGTATTCGTTCCTTGTTGTTGACCGGGTCGTGGGGGCGGCGCCAGAGGTTTGGCGGCTTCGGCATTGGATGCAGCGTCGTTCCTGGCTGACGGATCCGTCTTGATGTCTGTAGCAGCGTCTATCGCGTGAGCAAGCAATGCGTCAACAACCCAAGGGGTCGGGGTCGGGAAATCCGATATGGGGCGCACGAGGAACCGAATTTGGCAGGGTCAAGGTGATGTAACTTGGGACATGAGGCTGTCATGGAGATACTAACCTGGGCGTGGAGGTGATTTGTGTGACTTCTTGGGCGACGTTGAGGGACCTCTCGCGGTGGAGGTGTCGATCACGGCAGTCCCCATGATGACGACGATATATTATTTTATATTATGGCTGGCGAATGGTGGGGGACGTGGGATGGAAAAGGGTTAATGGTTGGGACAAGAGAGACTAAGAGCCGGATGAGGTCAGAGGCGACCAGGAGAGGCAGCCTCAGTCAGGCACAGGGCAGCGCAAGTGAGATGTTTACCACCCCCAAGGAGGCAACAGATATGGTGGCGCGTCAAAAAGAACTTCGTCCGGTCGATACCTTATCCTGCGCCGAGTATTGGTGGGTATGGCACTAATACTGTATGCAGCGTGGCAGCGAAACGAGAGATGCACACACTCTGTTCACAGCGACAGGCAGGCCAGCGCAGTGTGCAGCACAGAAGCGCAGCGACGGTGCAATGCAGCGCGACTCTGGCTCAGTCTCGATTAATCAAAAATTGGAGGGTCAGCGCTACGTGCTGCAGCGTTTGGTATTGGATTCGCAGCCGCAGGCGGTATGCGCGATGTCGCGGTGCTGGCGTTGAAGTTTGCTGAGAGTTTCGTTAGAGGAGACGGTTGAGGAAAAAAGACGTCAGAGATGACGTTGTGAGGCAGCAGAAGGAAGCCGCAGAAAAAAAGAAGGCGGCGGTGGGCTAGTCTTGTGTGGCCGGGCGCCCCCATCTGGTCCTCTGTCCCGGCACCTCGCACCTCGCGCCTTCACTGGACACCCAGCCGTAGCCTGGGGGGGATTAGGGGGGTAGTGCTGACAAAAGCTTCCTCCCACGCACTGTGAGGCACTGTACGTCCTCACCTACGGCCCGACACCCATCGACCGATTTTGCCCGTGCCACACTGCCCGCCCACCCTCCTTCAGCAACTTTCACACCCACTCACCGACTCTCCGATCTCGATGACGTGTCTTGCCCAAAATGTGTTGTTGTGCAGACGAGCGCAATTCCCATCGCCATCCCCATCCACCGCGCTGTAAGTGTAGCATGCCTTCGTTTCCTCGCGCATTCACCACTCCAGTCGCTTCACTCATCGCGAGGTGGACCGGGGGCCCCATCGCGAAACCGCCTACTCCTATCATTCGTCTTCCCGACTTGCTCCATCCCAAAGCCGTCGCCCATTGGAGGCGCACATCACCCATTCCTAACGGGGAAGTGACAGAGATGGACCATCCTCCATGCATGTGTCCACTTTAAATTCCCCTAATGCGAAGTGTAAGTGGTCCGGAGGTGGGACATGGGGCAGCTTCCCTACCCTCCCACACTGGCGTGCGCAACGAAGATCTGAACCCTCCTCCCACAGTGTGATGACGCCAAGCGAGGACCGTTGTCCCCCAACCGTGACTTTTCGCCAGTAATGCCGCCCTGCAATATTGCATGCGGTTCGGTTTTAATTTTTGGGTTTTGCTTCTTTTTTTGAATCCTCTTATCTATTCTCCCAGTGTGCCCATGTTTGAACTGCAAAAAAAAAAAATCCAAGTTTGGCCACCCAGGGCCCTGACTAATGTAGGGGTGCCAGGCAATAAGAAAAATTTTACTCGTCCAAGCAATATAACCGATAATAAGCCCCAGCAGACTGTGCAGCACGCTCTTCCCTCTCGTTTTCTTGCCTCCTAGTAATTAATAATATTATCTCTCCTTTGGCAAACCTTCTAGCCATCTTGGGCAGCCGCTTCTGTCCTCCTAGGCTTGAAGCATCTTGGACTATTGCCAGTCCAGTCCTAGGTGATGGGAAGATGCTTCTGCCAAAGAAATTAGACTCCTGGATGGCTACTTATTGTTCCCTCCCCCTCCCCAACATTACGAGCCTCCCTGTGACTAGTAGGAAAGCTAAAAGACACACAGTACAACGAAAGCATTCACAGTACAGTACCTAGGTACCTCATGTATGCATTCATCAGCAAGTTCCAGCTGTATCTCGTCCAGTAATCGTATTGGTAGAGCGCACTGTCCATGATTCGTCGCTGCCAGAATGACAACAAGATGACGTCAACGCCCCGTTTCAAACCGTAATCTGCGCCCATCCCCTCCATTCTCGTGCATCGCCATCTGAAATGGAGCGCTCCCACGGCAAATGCCAGCTGGCCTGGTTTTCCTCATTCCGGCCTCCGTCCGTCTTCCTGTAGTCGCGCAAGATAACAAGATTGACATTGAGATTTGTTGTATTCCATCGTATCCAGGGGCATGTCGCGTGTCGCGTGGGGCACGCGTGCGCAGTTAGTTCCCACTTGCGCTCGGGCAGTACACTGCCGATTCCTCTCTTAAAAGGCGATCCTCAGTCTGGCGTTCTTGGCTGGCCATATTTTCCCAATCGCAACGCAATACTTCAAATTAGCTCTTTGGGACGCTGGTATCTCCCTTACACTCTCTGCGAAGGAGTCTGACTGCATACCCATTCTGTCTGATATCTCAAAAGCCCCACCCGCAAAATGAGTACCTTGACCACGAATGACGTAGGGGATTCACGGCACCTCAGTTGGAGCGATAATTAGTAATAAGAGCCATTCCATCCAACTTCAAGTCCACGAAAAATCAACATGCCAATTCGAGCAAGAGGAGCAAACAAGCGGTTGAAAAGCTACTTCCAAGATGGGCCATCGTGATCGAACTCGAGAATATTTTGTCAATTATATGACTTTTCAGAAGCTATCTAACTAGCAGCTAGTTCCTAGCCATGGGGTTTTCTCAATGCATGTAATCGTCTTTAACTTTCCGCAACTTGTGCTAGCTGTGAGCGTAGCATGAGGTCCATTCTTACGGTCCTCGTAAGGATCTGACTGGAATCACCACCTTCTACCAGCCGCCACTGCCCTGGGCCTGGTCATCAAAACCAGTTCCAGCGTCCTGGAAACTGTCCTCGGGGGCGGGGTTGGCATCGAAGTTGTCATTGCCGTTGTCATTGGTGTTGCCATAGTCGTTGTCACCACCAAATCCTCCGTCCCCATTGACGGCATCGGCTGGTGGCTGCTTGCAACGGACCTTGGTGTGGCCGTACTCCTCACAGTTGCTGCACTTCACCTTGCTCCCTGTTGAACATTATTAGCATGTAACCAAGAAATATAAGTTAGTGAGAAGGCCTCACAATCCTTTGGCTCCGGGCACTCCTTGCTGAAATGGCCCGACTTCTCGCAATTGCGGCAGATAACATTGTCCATGTTCTTCGGCTGGTCGCACTCCTTGGCGATATGGCCCTCCTGGCCACAGTTTCGGCAAGCTCGACCACCACCCTGGGGGCAATCCTTGGCAAAGTGGCCCTCTATCCGGCGATTAGTATATATCATCATGGCGTTACGAGGCTGGGATAACTCACTCTCCTGGCACTTGCGGCATTCCACATTCTCTGGGTTGGGCGGTTCCTCGCAATCAGAAGCCTTGTGGCCAGGTTGCCTTTCCTCAGTATTAGCACAAGCGATTCCTTCATCATAAATATCGTTGAGTAGATACTCACCCGCAGTTCTTGCAAGCAAACTTGTCCACTCGAGGGATAGGGCCTATTTCGTCAGTGAGCGATGGCCATCTATAGCTTGATGAGAAGGGAGCACTTACAATCCCGAACTCGGTGCCCATCTTCGTTGCAATTGGAGCAGGATACCTTGGGTATGTCGCCCATGGTTTCAACCTTCTCCTCGGTGCAGCTCTTGGCGATGTGGCCGACCTGCTTGCAGTTGCTGCAAAGTGGTTTGCCGTTGCTCACCACATCGCCAGCATCCTCAAGACGAGTGAGAATTTCGTCGCGGTCCTTGGGCCAGCCTTCGACCTCGCAAGGTCGGTCAGGCTTCTCCGAGAATCGGTAGGTGACGGAGTATTTCTTGCCCATGTTACCCTGCCAATCCATGTTGGTGAAGGTTTCGAGAAGCGATCTCTCGACAGGGATAAACCAAAGATTGATGCCTTGATCAATGAGGGCTTGTTGAAAGTCCTTGTATGTAATCTCTCCGTTGAGAGCCTTGACATACTCTTGGACACCTTCTTTGGCATCATCGATGTCCCGCTCAGCCGCGGCTTGCTTGATCTTGCTCCAGGCCTCGTCAGCAGAGACATCGGCGACATGGTCCCGGTTAACCTTTCGAGCATTCTCGCAAGACCTCCTCATGTGGCCTGGACTTATTAGACTAACATGTTATCGGGACCATTCAGCTGGGGCACTCTTACCTTCTTCACCACAGTTCTCGCAAAGCATAGGAGGCTTGTCAGGGCAATCCTTGATCATGTGCCCGGGCTTCTTGCAGTAACGGCAAGTCATTTCCTCGGCAGTTGGGCATTCTGCACGCCGGTGCCTAGAAAGTAAGGTTAGGGCAAATCGACGTCGTTAGAGAACAAGGTGAAGCATACCCTGTTTCGCCGCATCCGAAGCACTTGTCGTTGTCACGGTCCGCGGCAGTTGGGCATTCAGCACGTCGGTGCCTAGACAGTAAACGTTAGAGCAAATGAACCTTAGTAAATACGGTAAAAAGCGAAGCATACCCTGTTTCACCGCATCCGAAGCACTTGTCGTTGTCACGATCCCCGGCACGGTTTTCTTCATTGTCTCCATTGGGGCAGTCTGCACCATCATGCCTGCTTTCACCGAGTTAGTGGAAGATCAGAACTCGGGGCCGAATACTACCAACTTTTCCTGGCCACAACCATTGCAGTTGTCATTGCCATAATTGGCATGGTCGTCGTACGAGGCCGAGACCCCGACAGACTCGTTCCAGGTATCACCACCTGATCCCCAGGTGTCCACTGCAGCCATTTCAGACGTATTCTCTTGGCCGAGGTGGGAAGTCCTTGTGTGACGAGCGGCACGTGTAGCTACAACAACAGTCAGTACAAGATAGCCGATGATGGCTCTCTGAATTATCAAGGATAGGTGGTCTTGGGAATAGGTTCATCGCTCGATTTTATGTCATATGCACATGTGTCTTCGCACCTAATGTGTACGCAAAGAAATGGGTGATTCAAGTTGCCAGGGAGGAGGGACAATGGTAAATGAATGGTCCCATTTGAAGAATCGTTGTAGACCAACTTTCAACGAGTGAAGTATATGTAGGGACAGAAGCTAAACAAGAATGCAAAGGGGGGGAAACACGGGCAGCAGTGGTGTTTTTGCCTCTGGGCCAATGCTCCAGATAGAGATGCACTTTCTTTTTTGGACAATGGCAGACCAACTTCCAATGAGTGAATTATGTGTAGGGGCAGAAGCTAAACAAGAATGAAATGGGGGGGGAAACACGGGTAGTGGTGTTGTTTTCGCCTTTGGGCCAACGATGCAGACAGAAATGCCCCCATTTTTGAACAGCACGAGACGGAGGGGTGATCTTAAATAAACAAGAGAAGGAACTCGCTTACCCCAGCAGATCAAAAGGCCGCTTTGATCTGGTAGACGCTTTTTGTACGGATTTCTTGGTGTTGAGGTAACCTTGAAGGCTTGGTGGTGAAAGAAAGAAGAGAGTGAGAGAGACGCGAGAGAAGTGAGAAGCTTGGGGGGATTTGATGCTCCTTGAAAGCCTGAGGCACAACGAAGCGGCTGCTCACAGTCGTCTCCAGCTACTGCCCTTCCATTAGTTCTAAAGGCAGGAGCAAGCAAGTTCCTTCCGGGGCAGTGCAGTGACGTGCAGTGGCGCCTGGGAGGCTCGTAGGCGCCTGAGGTACCCCTTTTCGGTGATCCAATCCCCTAGAGAATCATCTGGAACCCTTCTACCGATCTAATGACCCTCCGAGGCGTGCTTATGAGGAGCTGGTCCAGTGGCTACCTAGATGGATTTATCATAAAAGTTCTACGGCAAGTAAACAGGTACTTACCGGAGAGGGTAAGGGGTACAACAGACCAAGGGCGGGGAAGAGAACCGTCCCGTTTGAGATCGACCTGACTTGCTCAATTTCTTGGTTCCAATCGGGAGGGAAGTGTCTGAGATTCATATAATAGGATCAGACGATTCCGGGAAATATTTTGATGCATCCATCAGCGTTGCTGTGCCTGGGCGCTGCATGGTAGCACCCTGCTGTGCAACGACATGCCGGTTCCCGCACACACCAACAGGTACCGTTTGTGTCGTTCTTCTTTTCTTTTTCCCTTCGTACCCCCTTGTTCCCAGTTGAACCCTCACCCGTGCCAAGCAGCCATCATTTACAGGAGGGCCTCCAGAATTCCACTGTTTTCCACGGAGCTTAGCCTCCATCATATCAAGACCTGTGGGTATTCATGAACTTGGGTATAAACTTGCTGATAGTCGTATTCTCAAATCATAGGTAGTTTCCTTTCTATCCGAAAGAATGATCGATTACCTTTCCTCCAATGTCGAACTACGATGCGTCCCACGCGTTTTAAGCGATTCCTGCATTCTATCCATCCCTACCTCGAATAAAATTATTCCACTTGAACGATTCCTGCCTCATTACGATCACAGAAGTGACTGAAGTGTTCTTGCCACTACAAGAGTTCTTTAGATCGACTGGCAAACAAACCATCGGATAAAGAATACCCAAGAAGCAGCCGATCCTACGATTTCCTCCCACCAATTTTCATCCTACACGAGCGTCGTGAAAGAGATCATGGCCCATCATACTGGCCTACGTAATGTCCCACGCCTAGTCCAAAACACCGAATGGTCTTGTTGCTCTCGTCGCTTTTTGGGGGCATAGAAAGGGCATGTCCCACTCAGAATGCACTAAAAACCCAACATCACTCTACTGTTTTTCTTTTCCACTACGAGTTTCAAAGCCTACTGGGCGATTAAATTATTCAAGGCAAGATTTGATGTGCGGATGGGTGTTTCTTGGCTGCACAATCATCGTCCATCAAAAAGGGGGGGGCCGAGTTTGGCCTGGAAACTTGTTCGTTCTCATCCATCGTCGACTTGCGTTGACAAACGTCGACGATCAGCAACGCCTTGCCCCCACATCAACTTTAAAAACAACGTCAACACCAGCATACATTTTGCCATTGTGTGGCATATTCTATTAAACTCGCTAATAAATCTTGCTCATTCTACGTGTTGTGTTCAAGGTGCCAAATGAGGATACAGGGTTCAAACATCAAGCAGTTGACCACGCACAAAATGGTTCCACCTCAATGCTCTTACCACCTGGGTCAAGCACATTGGTTTGCTTCCTCCCTGCATCACAAGTGTTAGTCGCATCGATGTCTCGCGGGTTCAACCTTTTTCGGAGCGATGATACCAGCACATCGCATATCCCAACTTACCTGCCTACACTCTTACCCAAGCCTAGATCTGCCGTATCAAAAGCCCAGAATGGGTAGGGCAAAGTGTACACAGTTGGCAATAGACACTGTCAGAACGACAAGAAACAAGGAAATATTGGACCTCTATATCATATTTGTTACTAAGCCTTATCATGCCCAAACGCCCTCCATGCTATGACTAGCCGAATGAACCCAGAAAGAAGAAAAGTTGAGTAAATACAAAGCCATCGCGAAGCATCAGGTTGATTCAAGTATTGTCAAACGAGCTTCGGATCGCTCTTCGTGTTGCTTATGACTGGGTAGGCCTAGTGCTAGGGCCTGGCTCTCCCCCGCGAGCCTGTTTCCCTTGTTCCTTGCCCTTCTCCTCATCATCACTATCGTCGTCGGCAAGGGCGTACCTATCAGCTGTAGGTGTCTCCAGATGAAGATCATCCAGCTCGCTCTCGTCAAAGGCCGATGCTTCTAAATCAGCATGTTCTCGCTTCCTACGAAATCTATTCAGATCCGAGTCGTTGGGGTCGTTTCCGCTGACAGCCTGATACGATGCTCGCTTGCGTCGCTCGCGCCAAACGAAGAAACCCCAGCCAAAAGCAGCAACCGCGACAATGACGAGAACAACCTCGCCCGATCTGCGGTACGCCTGCCATTTCGCGTCATCCACCTGCTTCTGGTGCTCCTCCTCGCTAGGATTGTAAGGATTAGTGGCGGGGATGCTTGGGGTCTCCTTGCCATCAATATGGCTGTCGATCTGATCGCGGCTTACGGCTACTCCCATGAAACGGTCGAGCATATCCCGAGAGCGTTGGGGGTGATCGAATGGAACCATGTGAGAAGCCCCTTTGAAATGGACATACGTCAGGTTTCGGGACTCTTGCCAGAAACCGGCGTCTGCACCCCCGAACCGCCATTCCTGGCGAGGAGCTGTCTCTCCCGATTCCAGCTGGAACCCTTTGCGACCACCCCATTCCAGCGCATTCATCAGTCTCTCCGTCCCATAGTAGCTGCAAATGAGATCCTCCGCTCCTGAGAACAAGAGGACTCTGATCTCCTCAAGTAGACCGGGTAGGAGATGGAAGGAAGGCTTCGAATTTTTCGTATTGAATGCCTTGCCCACATTCCTATTGCACTCTGACCAGCCTTCTTTGCCGTTGTCGTTCACATGAAGGGCATCCAAAACCGCTCTGTTTCGGAGGTAGGGCTTGATGTGGACCAGGTCCGGGGGCCAGTTCATGCCGCAGCTGGGGAAGCTGTCCTTCAGGCGGATGTCGTACATGTTCACGCAGGCGTCGTCTCCATTTCCACTCTTCAGCCACCCGAGCATCCTGGCCAGGATCTGTTCACAGTCATGATATTCCACCTTGCCAGGATCTTTCTTCATGGCCTCGTCACACTTCTGGACCTGACCCTTCAGCTTCTCGTGAATGGCCGAGTCCTTCTTCACCAAACCCTTATCCAGCGCAAAGTCTAGGTAGGCATGGTACTGGTATGTGGGAGAGATGTAAGCGTTTCCAATCATAAAGCCCTGCAGACCCCATCGCTTGCTGGGATTCTTCTTGTTGCGGTCGAGAATGGCCCTGGCGATGTACGGGATGTATTGGCCGGCGTAGGATTCTCCAGCGAGATAGATCTACCGATTGTCAGTATTAAGAGATAAAGCTAAGGTATAGAGGGTCTCAACCAACATCATTTGTTTCGTAATGGGGGAAAATTTTGAAGAATTTCTCGAGGAATACGACGATATTGTCTGCCATGGTCCCAAGTTCGTGAATATAACTGTCAGTGTCGACGTAGCTGTAGCCCACACCGACCGGGTTGTCGATGAAAAGGAGGTTGGCATATTCATTCCAGCTACCGTTGGAGTATACGAGAGTGTTGTCGTCTTTCAATCGATAGGGGCCGACCTCCATCAAAGCGCCATCCTCGGAACTACAGCCGGGACCTCCATTGAACCAGATGACAGTTCGCTGTCTATCGGCAATATGTCGATTCTCGAAGTGCCAGAAGAAGAGGTTTCCATTGTGCTCGGGGGTAACCTCGATATGCCTACATGTTCAGATAGTCGGGTCAGTATCACCATTGACATCTCATGGTCCTTGCATCCAACATACCCTGCATGCATGTTCACGGGTACGGGATGGCTCGGGAGGCCAGGCAGGTTGTGAACATAGTAGTCGCTTGCGGATTTCTCGGCGACAGCAACGGCAGATTGCCATGCACCCAGGAGGAGGAGGGCTGGCCATTGTCGCATGCCAGCGGCCATCCAACGTAGAGCCATGGCGTCAGCGACGGCGGCGACGACGGCGCAGGGGGAGGTTCGAAAAGGAGTGTATGCGACCCAGCACAAGATTCCAACAAGTCGGTGACGAGGCTACCCAAGAAAGAAAAATTATCTGCGAACCATGAGTTGGTTTAACTCGGATGGTCTGCAGCGAAAGAAGGGGGTGTTCCAGGGCGAACTTGACAGATGGATGCGTTTTGAGCTTACGACAGGGCTTATTAAGGGACGGATCGTATCCAGATAACTTCTAGCAGCGGGAGGCGTAGGCCAC